AGCTGAACAAAATGTCTCTTTTAGCAAAAAGAAAACAGTAAAGAAAAGAAAACAGCAGGGAAAAGTGACACAAAACCGAGTCAACACGCTGCGGCCACAAAAAACCAAAAAGAATGTGACAACCCACAGACAAAAGGTCGTAAAGAAGCCAAACAAAAAAAACATACAGAAAATGGAGTCACGTGTCCCCTACGCTTAAATTACTCTACTGGGATCAGGAAACACACACAGAGCCGCACCACACACACAAATGCAAGTGGAAGAATATAAAAAGTCTCTTTTGGAATACATTTATTACTGGCCTGCGTAAACTCCGAATATTCCCAAAGTCCTGATATTGGAAAAAGTCTTGTATTTGAATTTAACATTTTGGCGCCTACTGCTGCTGCTGCTGTTATTTAACAACACTGAACTGTAATTAAAATATCGATAGCTTGTTAACAGAATGCTGTTAGCTAACAGCTCACAAATTAGCGCCAAATGTTAAAATTCGAACACTTTTATTTCAGGCCTAATTAATCAGATTTAAGTGCTGGCTTTTATGTGTTGAAATATAAAACTATTGTTAGCTTTTATTTGATTTGTCACTATGCTTTTTTATAGAACGTTGCCATGTGTACAGTACACTTCTCATTCAAATTTCTGTACTCGGCTTTACGGGCTCTTCCGTCATATTTTTACAAGGTGACCACAGGAAAACGGTCACAATAACCCTTCTTCATATTCGCGCCAAGCACAAAGGATAACAATTCATACTGGACACACAAAAAGCGAGCAAAAAGCGAAACAAAAGTAAGCGACTACGAAATACCCTGGGAAAAGTTGATTCTATTATTTTCCCCAGTGGTGGCACTATCCAATCAAGTTCTCTCCCTTCATTTATGGCTCTATTCTAATTTTGATTGCCATGTATGCGGGGACATGTTAATTCCCTTTGAATTTAATTGACTGCCATTCCCATTTGAGTAAGATTTCCATTCCATGCGAATACGAGAGTCGCCTCCGACTGCCTTCGCTTGCATGTGGAGCTGCCGTCTTGGTTGTGGCATGGCTTGCCAACGGGTGGGTATCAAGTGAAAATCATCAGTTTTCATTTGTGGCGTTTAGGGACGGCCAGCACCTCGTGCCGTAGGTGTGTGCCTGCCTGCCTGCCTGGCGACTGTTTTGCATTGCAAATTCGGACGGACCTCATAGTGCATTCTTCACATGTGCAGGCGGAGCGGGGGGAGACTCCATTGCATGCTAGCCGAACATGGAGCCTTATAATGTCCTGCTGTTAGCAAAGTTGCGCTTTTGCTTTCCTCTGTGGCCCGCCGAGATTTCATAGTAATTAAAAGCCAGCTCCCCTGTAAATTGCACAATCTGGATGAGTATACCAATAAGAAGAGCTGTCCTGCAGCAGATTAACTTGTAAATTTTAAGACTGGAATGGAACTTAATGAAAATAAAGCTAATCAAAGGTTAATTTAAAAAGTTTTCAGCACTTTCACTGTAGGGGATGCGCAATTCGTTGCGTTTGCTCGTTTACGTCCTTCTCCGGATCCGTCTTGGGCTAACTAGCGTTGCTCGGTTGACAATTAAAACTTAATTAATACTGCATGCACTTTAGCCTTCGCCCTGAACTTTAATGGCGCTTAATTACAATATATTTACATGCAATTCACGTGATTTCGTGGCGTACCCATTCGATTACATAATCGCTTTTTCCATTCACTCAAACCAAATGAGAATTTAGCCAAAGACCCAAAGACAGAGCCAAAAATTATGCAAAGATAACATTTTAATCTCATCTCAATTCAAATGGTTACATTGGCGCGTAACCGTACAGAAGCAACAGCTGTCTGCTGTTAACAACTCTGTTATGTTGAAGGTTATGCTGCCAGACAGATATACCGGCAAAGCAGACTTGTTGTTGTTGCCGAGCTAAGCAGCTGATTGCAAAAATCTAGCCTTAAATAACTACAGCAACAGTGCTGCTACTTTCATCAGAAAAAAAAGTTTAAAATACGTAATTTATGGTTCTACCAATTTCCGGAGTGATGTGATTCTGACATTAAAAAAAGGCTGAAAAAAAGCCAAACACATATCTATAAATATCAAGAATTCCCGCTTCCCGCAGCTGGTCTTTAAAAACAGCCAGATTTGACGGAGAAAAAAAATCGAAGTCGGCAGCACTGTCTGCGTGCGTTCTGCGTTTGTTTACATTTTACTCTTTCCCGTGTGCACACGTCCGAAAGTTGAAAATATTATAAAAACCCCCAACAATATCAAAGTAATTTCACTTTTACATGAGCAGCCACAGGCAGAACAACGCGTCCGGACGGCAAGCAAGTCCCAGTGGAGGCCAGAACGTAACAGAAGTGCAGTGGAGCCCCCAGCCATTGATACTGACGGTGGAACAACATTTTTGGCGTGACTGCGGCGTATTAAATCAGCGTCAACGACAGAGCGTGAAACAGCAACCGGAAGTGCAGCGTGAGGCGTGCAACTGGTGGCCACCACAATGGACGTCTTCGCCTGGGTAAGGAACGGAACCACGCCACACGCGCACCCAAAAGAGACATCGTCGTACTGCCATTTGAAATGCAAATTAATGAGTGATTTCCTCCTATCGTTTTTTGTGTGCAGGGTGCCAACTCTCACGGCCAGCTCGGCCTTGGCTTTGAATCGGAGTTGTGCATGACACCGCAGCGCCTCACCAGACACTCCTTTGCCCCCCAATTGGTGCGCTGCATACGCGGCGGCGGTGGCCATGTACTCATCCTGGACACAAACGGACGGGTGCATGCCTGCGGCTGGAACAATCGCGGACAATTGGGTCTGGATTCGATGGAGGACTGCCACAATGAGTTTCGGATGATTCCCACAGAGTACTTTGAGGTGACACAAATCATGCCGATGGCGAGCTATCAAGGATCAGTTTCATCTTGTGACTCTTTCAGGAAGTACCTATGGAGACCATTAGCTGCGGCTGGGACATCTCTGGAGGGATAACGCTGACGAAGCGCCTCTTCGTCTGGGGCTCCAATGCTTTCCAGCAGTTGGGCATCTGTCAGCGTGGCTTCATGGCCGTCCGTCGGCCCTTGCCCGTGCGTCTGCCCAAGGAGGAGCCCGCTCTGGCCATCAGCTTTGGGTTGCGCCACTGCGCCGTGCTCACGCAGGACCACAAGATCTATGTGTTTGGGCGGCTGCGCGTTATGGATCCACCGCCCATCGAGCTGGACATTACGGCCACTACGCTGCACCGCTGCAACACGATGAAGATCCAGGTGCACAATCCGAACGAGCTGCGCATCGTTGCCCTCTCCAGTGGCCAGCATCACATGCTGCTCAAGTGCGTGGACTTGACCCAAGCGGCGGGCAGCACCAAGCGAATTCTGTCTCTCGGCGACAACAAGTTTGGGCAGTCCAATGCCTTTCTCTTCGAGGATGATGTCCGGCAACTGGCCGTAGGCTGGACCCACAATGCTGCAGTGCTTCAGAACAATGAGATCCTCATGTGGGGTCGCAATTGCTATGGACAGTTGGGCACGGGCTCGATTAGTGAGCAGCAGGCGGTGCCCAAGCCATTGAGTCTTCAACTACCGGAGGGTCAGACGCCTGCTCGAGTGCACATGGGTGCAGAGCATGGCTTGCTGCGTACCACAGCTGGTGAAATCTATACTTGGGGCTGGAACGAGCACGGAAATTGTGGCAACAACAGTACAGAGAATGTGTAAGCATCGACAACCTGTACCTTCTGGCAGTGGTTTGGCAGTAATGCTAACCATCGAACCTACTTACTCATATCTTTATATGCTGTGCATATCAATTGCTTAATTTTAAATTCAATTACTTTTCAGATGCAACCCCACGCTGGTGGAATTACCGGGACGCGTGAAGTTGGCTGGAGCTGGCTCTGGCTTCTGTTACGCCATTTCCGAGTCGCCTGTTAACTAATTTTATAATAGCTTAAATGTCGTACAAATGTAGAAAATCTCTGCCAGTTGTTGTTGCTTTCATCTTGTTGAAAATGGATTAATCAAATCAAACCAAAAATATATTAAAAAGATTTCCATGTAAGTGTGTTTTCGTTTCTGTTCTACACCTCTATTAGGGCTGTAAAACCATCGATGGTCGTGCTATCGATGGTTTAAAACATTGATAGATCGAGACTTTCATCGAAAACTTTCAAAAATAATTTTAAAAAAATAAAGCTTGCGCTTACAGTATTGGAGCGGATGTTATGCTGCGATGCATTTCGCTTCTCTAAGCATTGCTCACTATAATTATTGCATCAGCTTCACCTCTTCTTTTTACTCAACAAAATTGTACAAACTATTATTTTTGGTCTGTGACTTTACAGTTGTTAGAAGATTGCATCCTTTCATTCATTTTATTGACTTCAAAATTTTTCACTGAAACGATATATCGATGTTCGAAAAAAGCATCGATCTATCGCACAATTATAAAACCATCGATCCTATCGATAGTGCCATCGATGGTTTGACACCTCAAGAAATTTTACTTGAACAGCCGCGAAATTTTCGTTTGTTAAATTATATGTGAATAAAGTGCATTGTTTTTAAAAAAATTTAGTTTTCTTGTAAAAAAAGGTAAATTAATAGTGAATGGTTAATTTTCATATATTTTATTCAAAATTTGCGTGAATGGGTAAAGGCACATGCTACCAGACAGAGGAGTGGATGCATTTGATGATATTTTGTAGACTTAAATGTGCAATTGGAGAATCATCAAAGTGTAGTGAAATTCGCATAGATATTGAACAGAATTTGCAGATGTCTCATTTTAAGACTTCTGTGGACACTTTCCCACGGCGTTTTTCGTTTACCAATACATGAAAAGAAACAGCAGTGCTGCCAATAGTTCGTTCACTAATACACACACAGTAAGCTTCCTCGCGTCCCTATGTGCGTGTGGACCTTTGACTGGGCAGCACTGCCAGGTCGGTCAGGGTAGCAACAAAATAAAATCAAATTCCGCGAAACTTCAACGTGTGCCTGGCTGTATTTGTGTAGAATATCAGGCGTTCATTTTTCTCACAAATCAAATGTTTATGTCTGTAACTGATCGCCATAAACAATTCCCACATATAAACAAATGCAGAGGCCTGGGATCTGATTACTCCCATTCGAAAGTTTTGCAGCCAGACAGAAGCGGACAGAAGGTTCTCATTCAGTACCTTGCGACGTCGAACAGCGCAGCAGTGTTATGTTTTTTATATAAAATTAACTCCCGATAATATTTGCCTTTTAGGTTTTGATAAAATTTTAGTAGTACCACAAAAACGATGTCGGAAAATAATTTCAATCGTAACTATTCGGATGATGACGATACCAGCGATGCGGTCGCTGCTACTGAGGGTGTGTATTTTATATATATAAACTGAATCCTCATTGAAATAATACATTGGTTTCTTTCGTGCATAGCAAACGTTTCGAGTCAGGTGACCAAACGGATCTGGCAGCCAACCATCGAAGATTCAACCGCTGGAGTCTGGGAGCCGCCAGAGAAACCCATGCCCCACGTGGAAGAGGAAGCTGCGATGAGTCCAGAGGCTAAGGCGGAGGCTCAGGCGGTGAGTGAGACTGCCTCTGGCTTCATACGCGAAGTGGAGCGTTCTCTCTATGGGGACAAAAGCAAGGATCCGGAAGATGGCTCTGCCGAGTACTTCAAGGCAGCCGAGAATTACTCGCTATTTGGCGACAATTTCATGGACTTTCCAAAGAGCCCCAGCGTGGGATTAGCTGACGACCAGCACAGCAGTCCGCCGCCGGGGTTTGAGCAAAACTCCAGTCACTCGGTGGTCTACGAAAGTAGTCAGATTGCCGCATCGGCTGGAGTGTCGGGCCATAGCTACTCGGGGGTAAGTTGCCTCCTTGAACTTTATGTTTTTTGTAAATATATATATATATATATTTTGATTTTCTGCAAGTTCTGTTGATCTTTTACGGCACATGGATAAAAACCAAACTCTGTCCGTATTTTAGGGACCCTCCTCATCTGGAATGGGCGGCTTTGCAATGCCGCAGCACAAGGGGTATCAGCAGATGTCGTCACCGCCGCCGATTCCTCAGCAGCATCCACGTCATCCTTCGCCAGTGACTGTGGCTAGAGCCATAGCCGAGGCAGCAGCTCTGGCTGGAGCTGGGGCTGGCATCGACATTGGAATGACCGGCCATGGACATGTTCCCACTGCCACGGAAATGGCCATCGGGCAGCTTTATCAGCAACTTATGAATCTGAACTTGAATCGTGCCAATAGACAGCAGCAGCAGCAACACCTGCAGCAGCAGCAGCAACAGCAGCAACAACAGCAGCAGCAACAGGCCAATCAACTGCTTCAGCAGCAGCATCAGGTGTCCAATCCTGGTATGGCGGCTGCCGCCATGATGTATGCCAATATCGAGCTGCAGCAGCAGGTAAGCTTGCGTCAAATACAGCTGCAACAGATTCGCCATCAGCAGCAACAGCAGCAACAACAGCGTGCAGTACGTGGCATCTATGGGGCCAATGGAAAGACAGCACCTCCCAAAGATCGCAAATAAGCAGAAGAAATCTTATTTCAACCCAAAAGAAGGCACACAAAAAATGCCAATATTTCTAAAAAAAACACATTTTACATTACATTTTATTCAGATTCGTCTTTATCAAAGCCTTCGTCAGCGTTTCTCTATATTTCTGGCAAAAAGAGAATAAGGGACTGATTGTCTTTTCAAACAACAAAATCTCAACACACAAAAAGGCTGTCATGGTCATGAACAAAAATAAATAGTCTTCTGTCTTAGTAACATATTTATACATATAAATCGAAGAGCTTCCAACAAATATTTTAACCTAGAAAAAGTGTTTTAACAAATATTTTAACTAAAATTTCACTTACACACAAATATTATTAATAGAATTTAACAAAGCGTATAATCGCATACGAAGAAGAATTTCCCAATTCGTTTCAATCACAAAACATGCAAAAATAAATAGAATATGGGTACAATAGATAACATTCTGCATTTGTAAATGCTGAATTAATTAAATCTTGCATTTTCTATAAATATTCTAAATCCAGATACCGATTTTCTCACTATGTACACAAAAGTAATCAACATTTTAAAACCAAACAGAAAAGAATCCACAAACAATAATGTTATTTAAATATATTTTTTAACAATTATTGTATTATAGAAACGATTTTTAAATACAACAAATTACAGGGTTTTTAATAGAAGTAAATGTATAAGGAAAGTAAAAAAAATTTTTTGTCAAATGTAAAATCTGAGATTCAATCTCAGATTGCATAAAGAAAATCAAATGGAAATAAAAGAAAGGATTTGCTAACCAAAAGATACATATGTATATATGTTTGCAATAATTTCCACATATCAACCACAAAAATCGAACTTATTTTTAAAGAAATATAATGGATTTTTTGTTAATTTTTACTTGGCCTTGGCAATGCCGATCCGATTTTGTTCCAAATCAAACACCAGATAGTGTTCCCTGAAGAAGACATCTCCGATGATCCAGAAATTGAGGCCCGCCAATTCCATAAAGCCCGAGATGCAAACATTCTCCTCAAAGGCAATTATATATTCCTGTGGTCTCACTTTGAACTTTTTGCCAGCGATGCCGAGTTCCAGCACAGGCAGATAGCTGATTCGCCCACATGGCACCTCCCAGAGGCCGTTGGTGGAATTATATGTGGCCCCGACTTTGGTGTTCAGCTGCTTGATGTCTTCAGTGGGCCCAATTAACAGGGAAGTACCCGAATCCATGATGGCCTGGCAACCGTTGCAACGACGACATTTCTTGGAGGGAAAACCAATGTAGTCCATTGTAAACTTCCAATATTTCTGTTGGGTTACGTTCACGTAGGTCAAAGAGCCTTGGAACAAACTCGAATTAAAGCCACCCAAGATCAGTGATCCACCATCGCTGGTGTTGCTCTTCAGGTGGAACGAGAAGATCGGTTTATCGACCAATTTCTGTTCGATCATCGAATAGAATGGAGGCGTTTGACCTGTCGCGGCAATAGCCTTATATGCCATGCCAAAGATCCCATCAAAGCTGCTGCATGTGGCCGTTTGGCTGACCAGCCCGAAGCCCTGGTTCTCTATTGAGATCTGCTCAACGGACACCGTATCCGACGCAATCACGCCGCTCACTTTTCCAATTCCATATTTGATGCTGAAGGGATTTCCATTGGCTTTGAATGTCTTCGATTTGGATGTCTGGAATACAGCGTTGCCGCAGGTCTTGATGCAGGAGGTGCAGTTGGAGTTTGGTATCCACAAGTCCGAGGAGCCCGTATCGAACTGCACGGTAAAGGGTTGATCAGAAACAAGGCAAGGTCCGTAGAACTGAGTTTGATATGCATTAAAAAGTGGTTCGATGGCTTCTGAAGGTGTGCTGGTGCTGGTGCTGCTGCTGTTGCTGTTGCTCGGAGGTGATGCTGTGGTTGATGCCGCTGATGTCACTCCAAACTTTCGTTGTATGTGCCTTCGGCTGGCCCAGAGATGTCTGGCGTGTGGCAGCCTACGGTGCTTGTGTCGCTGCATTGTAATTCTGTGAAATGCATCGCTGCCACAGACAAGCACACAGAGGAGCAGAATTGCGACACGTTGATTCATTCTGAAACTGTGGTTAGCCGCCAGTCCGCGCTGCAGTACTTATAGTTTTCGACTCGGGCTTTATCAGACCAAGCCAAATCCATTCCATAACATTCACACGTAAGGCCGGGCCTCAAGCTGCCCAGAGTGTGCCGAATGTGCGCACATAATATTTTTCGGATAGTTATCGAATAGTTATACACTTGCCATAAGGTGGTACTGTATGTTATGTACATATATATTTCATATATAAGCTATTTATATAAATAGTCTTTAGTACATTAGTGAACTTTTATCTTCTATTTTTAGGGATGATCGATCCGTAATACAGGTCGTAAGCTGATTCAAAACTAGTCAATAATTCTATATTTGAGTATCGGAAGAACAAAAGTTATTTTTTATTACTTTATTTTAATATTATTATCGGGTCAAGCAGCAAAGATTTCATATGTCAAAGCTACTGATGCAGAGCCTAAAGAAAATCCCTTACCTTGCTACTGTTTAATATTTGCACTGTCCCACTGTACATACAAAAAAATTGTTATCTGTGTATGCTTACGCACGGCAGCGGCAGTTCTTTCGTCTCTCTCGCCTTCTTCGCTTCGTTCCTGCAGTTTCTGCATGTAAGCTGTTCGCTCGCGTCCATATGCCGTTCGTGCTCGGCTTAGCAGCGCAACCCAGAGCTTATGCTCTACTTCTATCGCTCTCGCGCTCTCTTTTAAGCTTTGCTGTATATGTCACCCACTGGCAATTCGGATCTTCTGCCCTCGCAGTCAGTCTGGAGCTGATCGTCATTCCATTTCATTTGCATTGTTATGTTGTTAAAAAAGCTCAATAGTTTAGGAATTATATATTTACATTTTTTTTAATACATAACGTTAAGTTATTGGAAAAAACTTTGTAAAACTTTGGATTGAAAATTTACTTTGCAAAGTGCGAATACGTTGAAATTTATATGTATGAGAGAAACATTAGAAATGCCATTCAATGCAATGCTGTGGCCAGTCCAATTTGATTGTAGCCCATGTCATAGACCGTGTAGTAGGCGCCCATAAATACCTCGCCGAGTATCCACAAGTCACTGCCCGCGAGGCTGGTGAAACTCGAGACGCACGTCTCCCCGTATTGCAGTACATAATCGGCGGGCTGCAGCGGGAAATCCTTTCGGGCAATTGTGAAAAACATCGTCGGTAGGCTGGAAATCGTTGAGCAGTTCACCAAGAAGACGCCACTCGTGTCTTGCGGATTGAGTACATTCAGTATCTGGTTGATCTTTTCTACCGCGGCAGTTGGGGCCACTATCAGGGAGGTGCCTACATCGAGGATGGTCTGACAGCGCGTGCAAAAGTTCTGCCCAGCCAGAAGCGCACTGGTCATGATGAACTGCCAGTATCCTTGCTGAGAGACTGGCACATAGGTGAGACAGCCGCTGAAGAGGGTCGAATCAGTGCCGCCAAGAATGAGCTCACCGCCATCTGTGGCACTTGTGCCATTCCTATTCAGATAGATGGAGAAGACAGGCTGCTTGATCAGCCCCTGGGCCACCAGGTTGTAAAACGGCGGCGTGACTCCACCGATCGATATACTTGCATAGCCCAGACCGAACATCCCATCGAAGGGAGAGGACAGAAACTTGGCCTCTGGCTCGTCGGTGATCTCTGCAAATACCTGATTCTTAATGGGAAATTCCGCTACGGTGACCGTGTCCTGCGACAGGAAGCCCGACAGTGCCACTTCCCCATTCGAGTCCGAGGCGTATTCGATCTTGAAAGCGGTGCCATTGGCCACATAGGAGCTCGAGGACTTTGAGTCGTATTGCCTGTGGCTCGCGCAGGACTTGACCGTGGCTGGACACTGGCTGGAGGGCACCCAGAGATTCGACGAGCCCGTATCGATCAGCAGGCTGAACTCCTGTGGAGGCGTTCCAATTGTCACCGGCAGATAGTACTCCGTGTTGAAGGCATTACCCAATGCAGCTCCGTTCGAGGTGGTCTCCTTTGTTGCTACTGTTTCCGTTGCTGTTGCTTTTGTGGTAGCATGGTTAAGTTTGTGTTTTATCGACAGAGATTGCAGTTCGTTCCGCACATTGAGATGACTCGACTGTGGATTCCGACGTCTTCCCACCTTCAGGCGCCTCCGACACTCCACTGCAGACGAGCAGAGGGCCAATATTAGCATCAGTCTACAGCAGCAGTTCCACTTTACCTCCATTGCGGCGCTCGACTTAATGTGTGAGCGCCCTTTGGTCACGTATTTATAGCCACAGCCCAAGCCATGTAGCTCGGCTTACACCATTTGGGCAAGAATTTCACACCTGATTGTGTGAAGAATTTAACGCGGCATTGCCAGCATTTATTACAACATTCTTGAACACTTTTCGAAGCAGAAACTAGTTGCTCAAAGGAGCGAAACCCACGCGATTTTGGCCAAAATCGAATTGGGTATAGTACTGGCCCAGGAAGACATCGCCCAGGATCCAGAAGTCGGTGCCAATCTCGGTGAGGGTGGACATGCAGGTGGTATAGCCTTCATCGTGGAAGACGCTGATGTACACAGAGGCGGGCAGATCGAAGGTGGTGCCTCCAATGTTGAAGCTCAACACCGGCAGAGAGTCCAATGTGGCGCAGGGAACGTAGTAGCTGCCCTCGATGAGAGCGCCTCCAATGAGCTGATTTATCTGCGTATAGACAGCCTGGGGTACGGCGAGGAGGGAGGTGCCCGTATCGGCAATGGCCTGGCAGCCATCACACAACACAGTGCCGTTCCAGCTGATGCTGTTCACCGCAAACTGCCAGTAACCCTCCTGGGAGACTGGGACATAGGTGAGATTGCCAGCCATCAGTGTGTCATCGACGCCGCCGAGCACCAGCTGGCCACCCTCCTCGGCTGTGCCATTCCTGGCCAGATAGAAGCCAAAGGTGGGCTCATCGATCAGTCCCTGCTCGTACAGATTGTAGAACGGCGGCACCACAGAGTCCACGGCTATCGTTTGGTATCCCATGCCCAGAATGCCATCGAATGCCACGCCCGTGAAGCTGCTGCCCGGCTGCGAGACGGCCTCGCCGAACGTCTGATTGGCAATGGCCAATCCATTGATGGTCACCGTGTCCGTGGCCAGATATCCGGTCACACTGCCAGTGCCGTACTGAATCGAGAAGTTCTGGCTGTTGGCCACATACGTGCTCGATGCACTGGCATTGTACTGATTGTGCTGCTGGCAGGCCACATCCGTGGCGAGGCACTGTGCCGAGGGTATCCACAGGTTGGCGGAGCCAGTGTCAAACACAACATTGAATGTCTGCGGCGGAGTGCCGATGCTGATCTGTCCGTAGTAGTACATGTTCATCGAGTTGCCCAGCCCCTCGGAGGTGTACTCCGTGTCCGGTTCGCTGTTCGACGGATAGTCATTCCCGTAGTCGGGCTGTCCATAGTCGTAGATCACATAGTTCTCGATGAGCTGCTGGTACTTGTGCCTCAGCGAGCGCACCTCCTGCCTCACATGATGACGATCCCTCTTGTGCTCGCTGCGGTGTATCTTGATCTTCTGCAGCTCGGCACTGGCCAGTGCCAGGACACACACTAGGATAAACCACTTGAACATTTTACTCCTCCTTTATTTATATTTTCTATTTTCAACTACTTTGCTGTTGCCCTTTTTGTGTCTGGGACTGGACTGCTGTGGAACCCCACAGGCCACTGCCATTTATATGCCAGATGACAAGGGCAAAGCCGGCCGCAAATGGATCACCAATTGATAAAATGAACTACAAATAGATACGTCGCTTGATCGATAGTCCATATCGATCGTTAGCGTCGGTTTACACGTCTCGCAGCCGTGCGAAAAACAACAAAAAATAAATAAAAACAGCTGCAGACAATGGATTTTTCCCTGGAACTGCCATTAGGTCGAGGGATTTTGAATGAAATATTTTTAGAAATTAATTGCACATTTTGGACTTTGTTGATAAAAAACGAAATCATATAGTAAACAAATCAATTTGCATAGAGAAATGCGGTCTGGAAAAAAAAGTTCTTTATCTTATCTTTAATTAAAAGTTGACTCGATGCGGAAGGCGCGGACTCATTTGACCTCGAATTTTTAGAGAAAATGCAGCCATGAAAATGATTGGCAGCTACAAAAAAGAATAACTAAATCATCGTTGCAACAGTTATAAGTAAGTTTCCGAAACGGGAACTTGGAGACCTTCATGTTGAAATTGCAGCAGGAGCCGCTTGAATATTGAACTAACTTTGAGTCCATCGATTGGTATTTGGTAGCATCCTGTCACCTGCATGAAAAAGATCATTTGGCGTTGCTTTTTATATGAGAATTTTATATATTTGAAGCAATAAATATTTTAAATTATTATTGTCCACAAACTTTTTTCTAAGTAAACCCACGGGAATGGTAATGTAACTTGGAAAATTCCGTTAAACATTTGCTTAGATACAATTGTTGATGGCATTATATGATGCTGATTGCTAGACTTTCGACTTAAAGTCCGAGGAAGGTATTAAATAATATTACAAAAAATTCCTATTTTATATATTCCTTGTATCCCAGATAAATTTTAGACCAAGAAAAACAACAGCTAAGGTGCAAAAGCAAACCATAAAAACAATAACAGAATAAAAGAATATATTTTAAATGTGTGTGTTAGATTAGTTGTGCACAATGCAAGTAATTTGGTTAGAAATAATTTGATTATTATAGGTTATAGATTAAAAAGATTTACAATTTGCGAGCAATGGCAATGCGTTTGTACTCCATGTCAAACTCAATGTAGAAGGGACCCAGAAAGACATCGCCCAGCACCCAGAGGCTGGTCAGATCATCGCCGCCATCGGGAAGACTGGTGAAGCCCGAGACACAGGTTCCATCGTAGTTGAGGATATAGCTGGTGGCCGGCAGGGTAAAGTCGGTGCGTCCAATGTTGAAGGTCAGATCCGGCAGGGCGGAGACCTTGTCGCAGGAGATGGTATACACGCCGTCCCTCTTGTCGGCTTCCGTGATGCCGAATCTCGTGTTGATGGCCGCCAGAGTGGTAGACGGAACGACAATCAGCGAGGTTCCAGCATCGATGATGGCCTCACAGTTGGCGCAGAGATCGGATGCAGTGTCCAGGCTGATGCCGGTGACGGTTATCTGCCAGTATCCGACATTGGAGAGCGGCACGTAGGTGAGGCAGCCGCTGTAGAGCGTGGGATCGGTGCCGCCGAGTAGCAGCCTGCCCCCGTTACTCGGATCCGAGGCATTCCGGTTGAGGATGAGTGTGAACAACGGTTCAGCGATCAGTCCCTGTTCGTAAAGGTTAAACAGCGGTGGGTTCACATTTCCGATGGATATGCTGGGAAAACCCAGCCCGAAAATCCCATCAAAGTTCGACCGATTGAAGACGCTCTCGGGCAACGAAGTGATTTCGGCAAAGGTCTGATTCTGGATCGTCAGTCCGGCAATCATCAGGTTGTCCGTGGAGAGAAATCCCTGCAAGATGACCGCCTCATCCCTGGTGGCGTACTGGATCTGAAAGGCGGTGCCATTGGCCACGTACGTCTTGGAGCGACTCGAATTGTAGCGATTGTGCTGCAGGCACACACTCTGGGTGCACTGCACGGACGGCACCCACAGGTTGGCCGAGGCCGTGTCGAAGAGCACCTCAAAGGTCTGGCCACCAATGGCCACTTTGCCATAGTATTCCGTATTGAATGAATTTGTGAGCGTCTCTGTGGCTCCACTTGATGAGGTGGACGTGAACGTGGACGATATGGCAGTCTCCAGCTTCGCTTGCGTTGCGTGCCTCAGTTTACTTCTGACCATCAAACTTTGGTGGCCCAAATTCCTCAATATCCTCCGGTGATTCGTGTCCCTTTGCAGGTTGACCCGGTAGATTTTTCGGCGAGACCTCTTCGCTTCAGCGCTGATCAGCAGCAGCGCGAACAGCATAAGGGTAAGTCCCAGTCCGAGTTGCTTTAGCGGGTGCATAGTTCTCTGGCAGCTGCTGCTGCTGCTCTGGCCCTAAATCGTTGGCGGGGGTCACGTATTTATAGAGCCACATCGAGCCACATTGCCGAAAATTCCATTGCTATCTGGCAAGCTGAAGGTATTTATGGGCTATTGGGCTGCTATGGGTGGGTGGAAGGATAAGGGGATGTCACGTGGCCGGAAATGGTCAGAGCGACGTAAAAGTTTCTCCCGTTTAAGTGGTTGAGTTGTTGAATTAGTTTTGGGAACACACTTTTTATAATGGATCTAAAAATTAGCACATACATTTTTAAATTAAAAAATTTCAGGGGCTTAGACGTGGGAGCGTCCCACTTCGTTCCCAATTATTGTATCGCTGAATTATACAATGAATTCGTTAATATTAAATTTCATTTTAATTTAATAATATTTAATTATCCGTTATATTTCGAAATCTGTTTTGGGGCGCCATCTGCCGGGCTCAGCTGGTACCTACCAGTCACAGCAATACAGCTATCGGCATTAATTTGTACTAACAATGGACTGTTCCCAAAACTCTACCATGGGAACACTCAAGTAGTTCCAAAAGAATACAAAGCGTGCAAGTGTCGTCAGTGAGCAAACATTTGGAATCCAAGGCACTGAAGGCCAACAATCTGAATCTGGGTGCGGTCGATCCTGGTCGAAGGGATCTTCAATGGCTGACATGCGGAGCTTTTCTTTGTAGATTGGTGAGCTTCTCGGTTGTTAGCTCGGGGGCTTGGGCCTCGTCAGTCCTTCAGTCATTGAAGGTCCAGATCGTACAGACTGGAGCAACTCAGATGCGGTGCCGATTTAAATCTTGAAAGCGGATAGAGAGTGGCATTATGGAGATTTTATCCATGAAGGACTCACCAGCTTGGAAGAAGAAGCTCGTCACCGGCAAATGAATCGATAAGAATTCGGCTAAACTTGTAAAATATCTGGCCAATAAATAATACTTTATTCCAAATGAATTACAGTAACTTCTCTCTCATCCACCTACCAGCAAAGCCAATGAAAAAGTCATTCCATCGATACAATTGCTTGGCCAAAACAAAAAACTTCCCAAACCCTTTTGTTGGCTTTCAAGTTTTGTGACCTAAGCCAAAGGGGGGTTTGGCACGGCACGGCACGGCACGGCACTCAGTCGATTCCTTTTTCTTGAAATGCAAACGAAAGTGATTGCAAAAGTTTCTTGGCCACGCCTCATTTAGCCGCACCGAAAATATGCCAAGTTTTATTTGCTAATTGCAGTACAGTGAAGCTCCAGGAGGAGTGGGTGGGGGCCAGCAGTCTGCCCGCAAGCTGAGAAAAACTTCAATTCCAATTGAAGTTGCAGCCCATTCCAAAAGTATCCTCCAGCTACTCCCAAACCATTCCTCAGAGGCAAAGCCGCCGCTGGCTGTGACAACGTTTACAGAAATGGCTGGAAAAAAACCAGCCAGAGGATGATGCTTCGACGACAGCATACCCTCAACTGGGATTTATTTCACGTGTACAAAGAATTTTAGATCGCAAATGAGTAAGATGTACACAAAAACCGCACATAAAAATAGTAGGAAAATTTATAGAAATATTTTCAAGGAAAGGAAATATATTCCAATATAGTAAATACTTATGTTTCTTATTCTTTAGTGGATCAATAGGTAATCTTATCAATTTGATCAATTATCATAAATAAAATATATATATTTTTGGGGTTCAGAAAGTCTTCCTTTTGCCTTTTCGATACTATATATGTATACCCCTTTGCAATACACAAATACCCTGTGTAAATAGCCGCCAGGAGCGGTTCTCGTTTTGGCTTCGGTTTGGGGGCAAAGTTGACTGCGGCAGCGAACGTTTTTCCGCAAAATTTTCTTTGTAAGTTTTTCCGCCCCGAGTGTGGGTTGTGGGGTGTGGGGTGGTGTGTGTCGAAGTGTGGGGGTCCAATGTTGTAATTGAATTTGCGTCAAGTTCTATTAAGTGGCGTAAACTTTTGGCCTCTGGAATTGAACTTGGCTCTCACCGCATGTGCATTTTTCATATGTTTATCGCAGCGCGTTTCGATGTATTTCGCTTTCTTTCTTTCCTTTCCTTTCCTTGCCTTGCCTTCTGTTTGACATGTTCGTGAAAAGAAAAGGAAAGAAAAGTAAAGGAAGGAAAAACCCGCAGATACGTCTGTGTGGACTGTCAGGCACAGGGGCCACATATGTGAGGTTATCAATGAAGCATTAAATTGTTTCTGGCATTTTAGAGTCTGTCTGTCGGTGGCGCAATCGTTGAGAGCAATCATGGGGCATGTGCCGTTCCTTCCAAATCTACAAAAAAAACCAAAACGAGTCCAGTCCATCATCATCATTATAATCAACTATCCGACCCCCCCAAAACTGATTTCGTATGCAGGAGCGCACAATCCACTCAAAGTTGGACTTAACTTATCCTTTTGTTGGGTTAATTTAGCATATCAAATTTATGCATTTCATCCCAGCAAATGCATTAAATTTGCTAATGTTTGGGCATCTATTTAAAAGTTCGGCCCATCCTTCAGGCCACAAACATACGAGTACATGTAGATGGGGGCGTGGGTACGGCTAAAAATCGGGGTCACAGCTGCCGTCTCGATGCGTGGTTCGACATCAAATATTAAGATTGTTTGGGACAGCTGGTGACATCTTCGTCGCAGACTTTTTTATGCCTCTCTTGGCTGTTCTCTTTTATCACTTCGCACCCTCTTGGCCAGGGCTCAAACGTGACACGTGATGTGGTACAAATTCGGTAAAAAAAAGTAGACAACAAAAAAATCAGAACGTAAAAGAATCTTTTTAAAAAAATGTATAGACATTTCTAGGCGTTACCTTGAAGGAATGAAACGAAAATAAAAGTACCTACAACTTAAACTGAATAATTCTAATTTAATTCTAGTTCTGCTATAACCATTCAGGAAAGGGACTCCCCTTTGCTACTCTAAAGCCTAAATTTGCATAGTGCCTGCACCTTCCATTCACCTCAAAAGTCGACCAAGTAATTTGGCTTTCCATTCAGTTCGCAACATGTTTATGTTTATCCACAATATTTGGCCAGAATTGAGGCCTAGCGACCAACAATAACTCGCAAGACTCACTCAAAAGATGTGGCCACAAATGTAGGCAAATAAAACCAGAGGACTGCACGCCATTCAATTGAAGAGAAATGCAACAGCTGCTAAAATCGTTTTCAAATATATATGTATATGTATATACTGCCAGTTTTTATTGCATATTTACATTTTAAGCGATAAAAAAATATTTATTAACTGTGAGAGAAACGTTGACTTGACTGGTTGGTTGGCCACAAAAGTCAGAAGTCTGTAGGGGGAGATGTAGGAGTCGATGTTGGAGCCCAAGCCGGACAAGGATTTGGATTTCAGCATGTTTGCACTGAAGTCCAGTTTCGGACAGGACAATTGATGGACAAACATATTAGATATATCTCCCCGCACATGTGTGCGGCACACACACAACACGCAACACACCACACAGCAGACACTAGACACTAGACACAGACAACTATCGTTCAGTTAACTAAAACATATACCCACACGACAGTTATTTGCTTTTATGGCAGACTGAGCCTGTCTGGGCCCCGTCCTGGTCCTCGTCCTCGGGCCGGACAGGCTTCTGTGCTCTGTACGTCAGTTGGTTGAACAGTTTATCCTGCATATAAACTTCAACAACACAACACAACATGCTCCCGGTTTCCATATATTCACACACATACACATATCTCTCTCTCTCTCTGTCTACAACTATTTCCGCTTACTGCTAAACAAATCCCAGCGAGCAAAACACTGGACAACGCACAACGTTACGTATACGCAATATTGGCATTTGGCATATTATTGGAGTTTCACCATTGAATTGACGGATTGAAGTGGGGGCATAGCTGTGGGCAGATGTGGAAGTAGAAAAGCTAGGCATCAAACACAAGCAAATGTCTTTAACCCAGTCCTCCATTAAATATGCTGACAAGTTGATAAATTGTTGTACATACTCGTATATAGATTTCCGCTGCCATTGCCACTGGGTGAATCATTTAATTGGATTGAGAAATCGGAGATGGGTCAGGGATTGAATATAATAGGATACGAGTATGATGCTTTGATGGATGGATTGCCATTGGTATGAGCTGTGGTATGGAAATGTTTTAGCGCTCATTATTAATTTGTGGTCTATTATTATTCCGATAACAGCTGTTTTGAAAGCTAATTTAAGTGGGGGAATAATTCACTTGTCTGCCCTCTTTCTTAACTGATAAACTAACTCCAGCTATAGAGATTTTTTAAGCTCGAAACTTCTTCTTGAGTTGGCATCTTAAGAGGCCTATTTGAACAGTTAAAATAAATGCGCTTCAAGTTGGTTCAACTTCAACTTCAACTATTTGGGTCAATTTAATGTCACAGCATTGAAAACTTTGGGAAATTACCTACATTTTCGTGGTCCACGCCTTTGCAATAAAATGGAACTGGCAAAAAGTTTAGCAGTCCAATTGGAAAATTCTCTAGAGTGAAATAACTCAGGAAATGATGCGGATGCTGACGCTGAGGCCTCCTCCTCCTTCCTGCCCCAGAAATGGAAATGCCACAAGAAAATCTCCGAACACATGTTCCAGTGGCGGTCTAAGGGGAGTGCCACGCCTCCCTACACGAAGGGGAGGGTCTCATCTATTAAGGTTTGACATTAGCATGAAAAACGCATTTTTCTTCAAGCGCAAACAATGAAAAGTAAAGTCTGGGAGTGTGCCCGGGGAGCAGAGGTGGGACATGGGGGGGAAAATGTTTTAAATAAGTTTTTGGGCAAAGTTAACGTCTCCCATAAAGGTGACAAAGGAATTCCAGTTCCGATTCCGATTCCCTGCATGCGATATCGCCTCTGATTGAATCAAACTGTTAAGAATTATTTCTTCCTTCCAGCCAGAAACGGAAAAGTAAAGAGCGACGAAAAGTTGTCGTTGAGTGAAATTGGGTTTTCCTTTTTTTTTTTTTGGCATATTTGTGCCAATTGAATTGTTTACACAGAAATAACGATTCCGAAGGGTTCCAAAAGGTTCAGAGCTCAAAACTTATCGCTGTGATGTGTGTGCGTAAAACTTTTACCATTGCCAGCTTAAAAGCTTTCGCAGACTTCATCATCAATTTCGCGGCATTTGCAAACATCCGAGGGAGGCTGCCGCCGCGACATTGATGAATCTGTGGAATCGGTGGCAGGCATGATTCGAGTGACAAATTGAGACATCAGAGGCGCCTCTGCTAGGGACTATCATAGTCTGATAGACAGCTGATAATGGAAACAGCTTTAACGGAATCAACAAAGAATTCCGGAAGATCGCGCAAAATCAGAGTTTGGATTGGTTAGCGGCACAACTTTCTGTAGTACGAAGCCTACGAGCTCGGATTAATATATGTCATAGATATAGCACTTGATAACGTGATAACGTAATAAATTAACGTACTTTGTTTAGGCCAGCAGAATAAATCTTCTTCAGTTTTCGTGGAGCTCGCCAGTTGTTGCTTGATCCAATTCATATAACAATGAACCCTTGTGTAGACACTGGGATAACCGTGTCGCAGGCAACGCCAGTCGAGGTGATGCCCATAACGTGTTACCTGCCAGGATAGTCCTTGTGGTAGGAGAGCACCGGGCCACCAGAGTCGCCAAATTCCTTAGCTTCGGGCCGGTATCCCGCCCACTATAGGAGGTAGCTGTTGTAGGGTAGCGGAGGTAGGGTCTTGTCCTTCGTTTCCGCATCGACATGGGCTATGAATCGACGACCGCCTGACGACTGATCAATTGAGCTCTCAAACTGCGCAGTGGAGAACACTACTCCGCTCAGAATGAGTGAAGTCCAATCTCTGACAGTATTCAGAGAATCCATAGATAGCTAATTCCAGCTGATTCCATAGATACAGGTGGTATCTTTGACCTGCTTTACTTGTTTTCTGTGCCAAATAGTCATATATTTATTCGCAACACAGTTCTTTGGCTTAACATTTATATTATTATTATACATATATTATTTATATATATTATTTATTTATTTATTGCGACTCTGGTGGTCCGGTGCTCTCTACCACAAGGATTGTCCTGGCAGGTACCACGCTATTTATATACATATTTATATTTATATTTAAATACATTTTGAGGCAAAACACAAGGTCAAAGAAAGCAGACTAATTAAAGTGTATTCCTTCTGAATTAAAAATGAGGAGTCCATAGATCTCGCATTTGATGTGGCCATATCCAGTTCCTATTGAATTCGAATTACCCTCTTTTGGTTTCACATTTCTGTAACATATTTTACTTGTTGCAGGTTCCGCAATTTGTGCTTTTTTTTATTTTCCCAATTTCCCTTGCCTGTTTCGGTTTCTGTTCTTTTTCCTGTTACCTTTTCCCTTCCAAACTTTCTACCAAACTTTTTTTGTTGTATCTTGTGAGTGATTCTTCTATAGCTTCGGCGTGGTGTCGCATGGCCCTCTGGATTGTGCAGTCATTGCATAAAAAAGCATACCCTCGTAATATGCTAACAAATGAGGTGCAAGGGCTACAACAATTAAAGAAATTTGTATTTAAAGCTGACTTTAGTGGCAGCTCATGCATTCCCAAGGTTAATTATTTAAGAATCTTTTGTCAAGTTTCTAAAAGAAAAAGACCTAAAAGTTAAAAGTTAAACATGTGATAGAGAATATGGCCAAAGAACCCGACCGAAAGATGCCCTTTTAATGCATTTTGTGGAGAAAGAAAAGGTCAAAGATCACTCAATAAGCTTCTTTTTCACCACCAATTAATAGATAAAGCACTGCTATTTTTTATTTTGCCATCGATTGCTATTATTCCTGGTAGATCGGCTTATGTCATTCGACATTAACGTTCCGACTGGTCGGAGAGACATAGCCAATGTTAGTTCATGGAAATAGCTCACTCAACCTCCTGCCTGTGACTGTTAAAGGTAAATGTAAAAGGACACCAACTTGAAATATTCCCGTGGCAAAGAACAACCACCACAAGCCGGAAGTCTATAAAGGACACTCATTCTATGCTTGCCACATACTCAAGTACTAACTACGGTCAAGATGTTGAGCAAGTTGTTCCCGCGCATCAAAGTCCTGCCATTGACGGAGAGGACTCGGTCGCGCGATGCCTTTGTCTACTTGGATCGATGTCAAAAGATTTTCGGCTGGACAGCGCCCGATAATAAGAAATGGAGAATCCCCTATATTATTTGGGGAATTTCCCTGAATATGCTGCTGATCTTCCTCCTGCCGATCTCTATGTTGGTATCGTATATTCAGATGTTCAAGAGCTTCACGGCGGGAGAGTTTCTCAGCTCCCTGGAGATCACGGTGAATATGTACGGCTGTGTCTTGAAGTGCCTCTACACTATTTGGGGCTACAGGGGATTTAAGGCAGCCAGACGGGTGCTGGATGACCTGGACCTGCGCTGCACCAGCGACGAGGAACGCTCCAGTGTGCACCGCTGTGTGGCTCTGGGCAACATGTGCTATGTGTTCTATCACATGGTTTACTCGGGATTTGTTGTCGTCAGTTGGACCGGCTACATCCTGATGGGCAGGCACGCCTGGTTGATGTACCTCCCTGGGCTGGACCCTGAAAAGAACTTTTTCGTATCCAGCTTGTGCGAGATGTTGCTGATGGGTTCCTGTGTCACCATGGACCAGTGCACGGATGTCTCTCCGCTGGCCCACATGCTGATGGCTCGCTGTCACATCGTTCTGCTCAAGGATCGGTTGAGCAAACTACGTTCCGATCCCAGCAAAAATGAGCAGCAACACCATGAGGAGCTAAGCAAATGCATCCAGGACCATCGCTTGATACTAGAGTAAGTTATTTTTCTTATTTGTTTTCTTAGGTATCGTGATTGAATTTTATTTATCCTGTAGCTATGTTAATAAACTGCGGCCCGTCTTCTCGGGCACCATATTCGTGCAGTTCCTCTTGATTGGTATTGTTCTGGGCCTGTCACTGATCAACATCATGTTCTTTTCCACCCTGTGGACGGGAATCGGCACCGCGTGCTTCATGTTCTGTGTGTTGTTGGAAACATTTCCCTTCTGCTACGTGTGCAACACGATCATCGAGGACTGCCGTGAGCTATCGGAGTGTTTGTTCCAATCGAATTGGCTGGCAGCCAATCGCAAGTACAAGTCCACGCTGATCTACTTTCTGCACAATCTACAGCAGCCGATTGTACTGACAGCGGGTGGAGTTTTTCCTATCTCCATGCAAACGAATCTATCGGTAAGAATTTTTATTCTCTGAATATATAGCAGTATATAACTTTATGTTCTTGATTCTTTAAAGATGGTGAAGCTGGCCTTTTCGGTTGTCACCATCATAAGACAATTCAATCTGGCCGATAAGTTTCAGTGAGAGATGGAACACCACCCAAGGCTCTGGGATTTTATTTAATTTTTATACAATACATAAAGCCATGGACACCATTAATATTAGTCTGAAGAACTCTGCAAGCCACAAAATATAGCTGAAATTACGTTATTGAAAGCTATCAAATTAAGAGATAATAGAGATAATTCATATTGAAAGAATAATTGCTCCTTTTTGATATTAAACGTAAGTTCTATCACCGATAATATTCCCACATTTATTGTGTTTCTTATTCAATTCCGTAGGAGTTCAGATTTCTTATTGCTGATTAAAATAAATGTGTCTGCTGGCTGGTAGATAAGCAACAATCAAAGCTTAAGCCACAGACTAGCACAGAGATACATTCGGAATCCTCATGGTACAGCCCCATCCTCACTCGCACTCCCCCCCTTTCACTCACAGACTCTCAGCCCACAAACAAAGCCATAAGTGATGCCAAAACTTTGCCATGTCTCAGCATGATAGAAAGTTTTTGGCCAGAAACTCTCTTTTGGCCCATTGACAAAAGTTGACATATGCAAAAATAAAGAAAAGGAGAAGACCAAAAAAAAAAACGTATACAAATTATCAGCACATTTATCTGGTGGGAAGTATGTTGGTGGTGGTGGTTGGAGGGGGCGAGTGGAGAGACGAATATGAATTCTGGACTGAAAAGTTTTGATTTATTTTTAAGCGCAAAGTTTTTGGGCCTGTCACAGCGAATTTTGACATGGGTTTTTGCACCACGGAGACTGCCACAGAAATGAAATGAAATCGAAGCAGAAAATGCTAAATCAAATGGGGACTTTTTCCCCTACCCAAAGAGACCGACACCGACACCGAACCCCAAGGAGCCAAACGAAGCCAATAGAAGGAAGAGAGGGGGATACTCGTGTTTGTTGCTGCTCGTTTAACTTTTACTTTTTCCTTTCCCTTGGCGGCCTCCTGCCGTGGATTAAGCCAGCTTAAGGCCTATTAACAGTTTCAAGTGACAAAGTTGGTTTCCATTTTTAATTGCGGGCAGCTGCAATGTTAAGTGCAATTGAGCTGAAAATGAGTAGGGATATAAAGAGCTTTGTGCTTGAGGCCTCCCCATCCTTTTATTTTAGAATTAATTCTACAACGTGATTACTACTGCCCCTGGACTCTGGACCTTGTGCAGACCCTTGGCCATGGACAGGGAGATATGATTTTCTCAAACAAGAAGTGCGGAATGGAACGAGAGATAAAAAAGGGAAAATCAAAAAGTGTGAATGAGCGAAGCTTAGACAGCAGTCGCGACAGTTTCAATATTATTTGGGTATTCATTTTTATAATTGCTACTGAGTTAATGGGAGGTACGAGGTGCGTAATATTGGCGCACATTTTATCTATGTACATACATATGTACATACACAAACCTAAATGGATATTAAATTATTTTTTTATTATTTGGACCCTCCATGAACCCAAAGTTATCCATAAATATATTTACCTTAAAGATAATTATACCATGGGTGCACAGATTTCACCCACTCCCGCTAACACTTTTTCTCCCACTCACTCTGTCTCTCTCGCAAAACAACAAAAAAGTATTCAATGGGAGACCCCTGGAGCATTTTTCGCCTGATAAATATCTATTTTTAGCTAGCCTCCTTACCTTATCTCCTTACCGCCCGCCCACCCCCTGCACACTTTTCGCACAGGCAAATTTAAGCGCAATTTAATTTCCCATTTGTTAATGACAAAAACTGACTAAAAACTAACAACAAAAGCAGCAGCGGGAGCAAAAGGGAATGCAATAAGAAGAAAGGCGACAGTGCTAGTGCATAGAAAGAGAGGGCGAGAGAGAGGGCAGCACGAGCCGAGAGAGTGTCTGCAGTGTCACTTGAAGTGTTGCAGTCGCCGCCGCTGACAGCGCGAGTATACTCTGCCGAAGGGTGTTATTGTTTCAAGCAGATGTTTGCAATGACTAAACAAGTAAGAGTATATGTTCGTATATAATATAGATCAAGATCTACAGCCGAATCTATATGGTCACACATATGAATACATACATAAGTATGTCTGTTTGGAACACTATATGCCCATAGCTTCAACAGGAACGATGTCCACGAAAGGGTATCAATGGGTCGACCCCAAAGCGTAAAGGTACGCTTGCTTTTTTTTTGCACGACTGCTAGAGGAAGAAAAGAAGCAGTAGGAGTAGGAGCAAAGGAGACCCAGAGAGTGGAGGAGTGAGCAGAGCCCCGTTAAGACAGTTGGACAATAAACACATGTTTCAGTTTGTAATACGCGGGGCCGTAAAGTTGCCTCGCCTCGCCGCGCCCCTCGCTCCAGTCATCAACGAAAATATATGTAATGCCAGGGCAGCCGAAAAGTATCTTTACAGTTGCTTCTTCTCTCTGGTTTGCTCTGTGTTTGTGCGAACACATGCCCTTTTTATTTTATTTTATTTCATGTTTGAGTGTGTGCGAAATTTTGCACGCATTCCTCTTACAGCGCCCCAACCCACCACCACGGGCTACACCTCTTCATGGGTTTTGTTTTGTTTTTCTTTTTCTTTTTTTTGTCGGAGCGAAGTGGAGATTACGTTTGACAATGGGGAACATGTGGTACTTATCGGGCATTTGTCTCATTGTTGTGCCGGATAATGGGGATATGGATAGGTACGCGTAGAAGGTAAGCCATTCGAAATGGAGTTGAATAGTGTCACTGTCACAACAAATAATCGATTTCTGTGCACCTTCGTCTCTCTCCGATTCTGTCAAACAATCATATCTGCCGGGACAAAACTTCGACTTATAGAAATCTAAAGAAAACCCGTAAACGTAAAACCCGTAAACGTTTTCTATATAATTTTGCTAATCAGCTGTTCACAGCTGCTCCAAGCAGTAGGGGGTCACTGAAGATTAAGGGTCGCAGAATGGTAGCGCCCACAACTGATCAGCCCAGCCGAGACCCAAACACTGTCCACACACAGACAACTGCGCTGTACGGATATTTTTAGTGCGGACTGTAAGTAGTTTTTCGTCTGTGCCTTGAATGTGTCTGCATTTCGCCAGTGTCTGTGGGCCATAAACTCCTCCGGCTAATTATGGCCACTAATGAGCTTGAAATGGCACTTACCAGAAACAACAGCAGAAGCAGCAGCAGCAGCAACGACAAAATACACATGTACAGGGTACTCACATATGTAAGTATGCGTATTTAGACATTTGAATGCCCCCTCTCAAAATAAAAAGAAAAAAACAAACAATCATTGAATAAACATTCTGTACTCTTCCCAGGGCAGGGCAGACAAGACGCGACTTCCATTATTTATGAGCGGCAGCAAGTGCGAAAATTTAAACACTAATTCAAATTAAAGTGGCCAAAGCCAAATGGAGATGGAAATGTAACAAATGCAACAATTGCAGTTCTGCTAGATTAGCGACATGTTTATGAAATCCTTACCGCGAAGAAGGGGAATACACTGTACGATGCCCCATCATGAATGGTTTTCCTGTAAGAGGTGATGTGATGCTTCTTCCCTTTTTGTTTTTGATGCAGACAATCTCGAGACTGTAATAAGGGGATTCGTGTTTGCTCAACGCCACTAATAGCCATATGACATTGGACTTAGACAATTTTTCTGCGTAGAGAGGGATATCACTAGAGGCAAAATGCAACATTATTGTTCGTAGCCGTCTCTAGGCACGTCTAATGGCTTTTAGTAGAACTAAGGCACTACTTGGCACACAATGATGTTTTCCAGCTGAACACGGACACCAATCCAGCAAAATTGTATCCGCAAAGTAAAATTTTCGATAAATTCTGCCGCAGCGCTGCTCCCAGCTCAACTGGATAGCCAGCTTGACGCATATAGTTCTCTCGCACTGACTGCAGGTATTTCCCATAAGGCCATATTTATTTTTCCAGCTAGTCAGATAGAAAAGTAAAGTTTAATATCATTATAAATGGTTATAAATAGCGCCTATTCAGCACTAGTTGATCAGCTGTTGACTGGTATCGATATCTGACAAATCTACTAAGACATACTCAATAAATAGGTTTTTTTAAATAGGTTTAATAATTTCAATTTGACATGATTATTTTTTGGTGCCAGTCGCGAAGCTTCGAAGCCAATATCGATAGGTTCTGAGCCGACTATATTTCCAACGCCGAGAAGTAGGATATGTATCATAGCCGTTAGCCAGCACTAAAAACATGAGAGATGACACTTAATCTTACCCATATGTTCTCTAAACTTTTTTGCGTGCTATCGATAGCTCAAATAAATGCATATGTAGTTCTGATCCATCTTGCACTCACGAAGGCTTACAAACTGTTCGATTGTTAATATAAAATCTTAAATAAAAACCAATTTGGTTCATAAAATTAAATCACACAACAGAAAATCAAAAGCTGTCGATACATCGATACAGCATCAAGCGCATTGCGCCCATCTCTATATAAAAAAAACAAGCCAAAAAAGTTTATGCGTACAGTGCGAGAAAATGAATCAGATCATGTTGTTCGAACAGCAGGAGGAGGAGAACAGACGACTGCGTTCGCTGTATAAGCAACATAACGAGAGGCCAATGGAGGAGAAAATCAGTTTGAGAAATACATGGGAAAAGCCCCAAGCTCTGCTGGAGGCCGTGAGCAGTCTGCAAATGCCCGATCCCTATCCGAATCGAAAGATATGGCGCAAGCAGCAACGTGCTGGGACCGTGCCAAAGGTATGTACATTTGCGAGAAAATTTCCCTCTCATTACCAGAAGGTAATTCCAGAGGATTGCAACGAGTCCATATCCAGCGTCAGAGCTATGGGATCTGAATGGGAAGGAAAACGAGCACGTCAGGAATGTGCGTGAAAGTCTGGATGGCGGGGACATGCCCCCACGCCTCGAGAATAAGATGTATTTTGTCCTTGACAAGGAGATGGTACTTAACTTCGAGGAACCCCTGGACGTGCGCAAAGAGTATCTAGAGAATCTGAGCAAATTGGTTCTGCCCGGCACAGATGGAAGCATGCTATACATTCCGCATATTGTGATAAAGCAGGTTGACTTCTTCAACGAGTGTCAAAGAGTGTACAACACGAAGGTGCAGATAGCAGAGCGTGCAATCAAATACTTGAACTCTAAATTTGATAGGACTTTCGAGATCCAGGCCCAATCGGTCACAGAGGAGCAGGACTACCTGTTCCACGTCTGCTGCATAGAGGAAAGTATTGTCAACAGCTGCCTGCAGCTCCAAAAGGAAGTGCCTAATCTGCTGCTGCTCACTTATAGTAGCCGTCTCCGACGATCGGCCAAATCGATGGGCATACCGGTCTCCAGCTACCCCGCCCTGAAGGACAAACATCCTGAAGCGTTTGCAGCTCTGCAAAAAAAACGCGAGCCATTGCAGGCGATGCAGATCGATGGCGTCGTGCAGCGGCAGGCAAGAGCCTTGTACTAATTTCGAATATGTACGTTATAATACTTATTTTAAGTAAGAAAGTAAGCATTTCATTGTTTTTTATATTTTATAAGTTCATTTTTCGTATACAAAGTCAGATTTTTTTTTTATTTTTATATTAAGTTACTTTCAACCGGGTTGATTAGTTGAAAGATCTCCTACAAAGTCAGATTAGTTCAGTAAAAAACATAAATTTCAAAGAATGGACTTGTTGTGTACTTTTACTTTTAATCAAACACAGAAAGTAGACATTTCATTTTTTTTTTAAATATTTTTAAGTAGTTTTTTCGTATACAAAATGAGATGAGCTCAGTTAAAATCGGATATTTCAAAGAATAACAACACACAACTTTCGAATTTATTTTTTTCTGTTTAGTGAATAAAATTGGAATACGTTAAGATACGTTCCTGTGACCTAAGGAACTCTTTTACAAAGTCAGATTTTTTTTTTATATTAAGTTACTTTTACGATTCGAAATTATAAAGTGGGAGATTAAACCTGTACTAATCCTTTCCTTTTCCTACTGCTATCCGAGTGTGTGGGGTGTACACGAAACAACACTCGTCCATTCATGCCAACGCTAACGATGAATTGTTCTATTGCCATGGACATGATACTCCACTACCGCTGCAAAGTGTCAGTGCTAAAATTATTTCATATCCGAGAATTTGTAGCTTGGCCCAGCTAAAATTTGATCCATCAGGTAAGTAAGTCCGGGCAAGTAAGTCCGCGAAGGGGCAGCCCCGCCGCCTGGGACTGGGTTGCGCCACCATTGCATGCCATAATTGTGAGTGAGTTTTGGAGTCCTTGGAGGTTTTAAGTGGTTCAATAAATTTAACACCAACAAAAAATCAACTAAAATTTCAATTGTTTAAACAAACGAACCAAAGAAAAACCAACTAAATAAAAACCAGAGAAATCCTACAAAGTCAGATTAGTTCAGTAAAAATCAGAGATTTCAAAGAATAGCAACACACAACTTTTAATTTTTAATCCAATACAGAAAGTATGCATTTCATTTTTTGTAAATATTATTAGTTAATTTTTTCGTTTACAAAATGTGATGAGCTCAGTAAAAATCAGATATTTCAAAGAATAACAACACATAACTCTCGAATCTATTTTTTTCTGTTTAGTAAATAAAATTGAAATACGTTAAGGATAGGTCACAGGAATTCTCCTCTTCCCGATGGCCCTTCGCTCGACAATAAAACGACAAGCAAATGGAGAGAACCCTCTCAGGTGCTCCGACGCCCTGGGAAATGGCTGCTTCGAGAGCCGCTTGGTGTCGACATCCCACATGGGTTTTCCAAACAACTCAGAATCTTACACCTCGAACCGCGTCTTTGTGCAGACCTTTAAGAAGCTGAAGGAAGCGACAATTGGAAATCCCAGTTCGAAGGTGACTCCAGTGCCCCCGTGTGTGCATCCTGTGCTTGGAAGAGACATTGCCCAATGCAGCGGCAGCTCATCGACGAGGAGTAGGATTGGTCAGGAGAACCAGGACATCCTCTCAAAGGATGCTTGTCCCAGCAATAAGAAGAAGGATGCTGCCGACGAGGAGGTGGAGGACGAGAGCTCCTACCTAGGGATGCATGTCATGTGCCGGACAGCCCACCAGCAAATGTCAGCGACCATCATGAAGAAGGCCAAAGAAGTGTGGGAAAGACGCAAAAATAGGCGCTAGGAGAGGATCCCGTTCCGACCAACCAGGATCCTACACGAGTCACAAAATTATTGTATGTATCTACAAATTTATTGAACTTTGATCCCAAAATCTTCTTGAACAGACTACGCGGTTCTGGAGTTGAAATTTCGGTAAGCTGCAGGGGTTCGCACACCATTGGCACTTCCGCGAACTGATACGTCGGAGTAGCACTTTGAAGAATCAGACAGAAAAAAAAAAACCAAACAAAATGAAAAAAAAAATAGTTTGAAACTTGTGTGTATTGTACTGTTCTGTTCTGTGAACAAAATACAGAACCAAAATAATATAATAGGGGCGCTACGCCCAACCAATCCTGAAGTAATCCTCGTTGCGGAGAGGCATCTGGTGACTGCTCTGCTGCCTGAAAAGATGTTTTTAGCTGATGGATTCTTTAGTCCTTTATCCATAGATGTTCATAGTTAGTCATAGTCTCTGCCTTGCTCATAACTGTATTTTATATCAATTAGTTTACTCCATGCGAGAGTGAACTGCAATTAAAGTTAGGTTCTCTCCTAGCCGCATCCTCCCACAGTCCATTGAGTTGTCTGGCTGTGTCGGCCCTTTACTGTCCCTCTGTCGTGTTTACTTCTTTGTGGGGCTGTGTATCTGTTATTGCTGGTTATTAAAATATACCCCAAACAAGAAGATATCGAATGGCTGGGCTCAGGGCTCGTGGTTCTGCTGCTCTACGTCTGACTCCTGCCCCATGCCACTGTTGCATTGTAAATTTTAATTATTTCCTACAAATGATGATTAAATTGGCCGCAGGGCAGCCAGGCAGGCAGCCAGATATTAAATCAATAAATACGAAAAATATCTGAATGTGGGAGCCTGCATCGGCATGCACTGTGGACTGCGTTTAAATGCGGCAATATGCATGGACGGCAACGAGACACTGATGACAGTTTACCGGTTTACAGTTCATTATATTGCGTAAATTGACTTTATATCGGTCCGCACTATGCACAATATTAATAAACTACTCGTCGTACAGCCGCAGCAGCAGCAGCAACAGCAACAGAAATGAAAACGAAAATGAAAATTAAAATTAAAATGCCAGCAATTTACTGCCATCTGAAAATGAAATGTGCAAAAAAGCAATACCTGAAGCCAAAAGCTCCAGCCTCAAAATGAACAAAAAGTCAACAGGTAAGGAGAGATATGGAAACAAAAACTATGGGAAAGATATATATGGGGAGCACTTGCCGACAAATGAATGCCATAAATTTGTACATATATGTATATATTGGTTTATTTGTATGTTCATATTCATATTGCTTTGCAAGAGTCTTGTCTATTGTTTATTTGTCTTGACATTTTCATGAGATATTTGTCAACAATAATGTTGAGCCTTTTTCTGGGTTGTTGCACATGGACTTGTAGTTCTGACATTCGACATTTAATTCTACTTGATAGTGCCAAATCAATACATGGTTGAACCGAAATCTCACTTTACTTATAACTCTCTTTTCCCACAAACTCACATCAAAAGATGCTTCTTATTTTCAGAGGGCGAGGAGCAAAAAAAGAGCATGGAATGAGCAAGAAAATCGGTAAATTCAGCTTCAAACTGTTAAATATATGAAAATAGGCGCGTTTCTATTAGTACGGGGACGGGACGACGTGCAAAGCAACGAAATGGCCAGATGAGCACCAAGGTTCAGTATTTCCGAGGTGTTTCTCGTACATTTTCCCAAATGTTTGTTTTTAACAATTATAAAAAAAATATAATAGTTTGTTACTCTTCATTTCCTTCCTTGTTCCAGTAAAATTCCAATAAAAGATCAATTCAAACGTAGTTTTGAACTTTTTAGCATATACAGATGCTGCTCCTTGAACTAGAATTCTTTAGCATTCTTTCTACTTATCCTCTTGAAGCCACACTTTTTCACAGAGAGCCTTTTTTATTTATTGGCATATTTAGATTACGCCTTCAGGCTCATTCTATGGTTGAATCTATGAAAATCGGTTAAGTATTCATATGGTAATCCAATCATATGGCAATCCATGATTGCATTAAATCACGAATGTATTTTTGCAGAAACAAATCTCGCTTTATCCTTCTATAAATCATCAAGAAATCTCGCTGTAATCATGCTGAAATATGGTTAAAATCAAACCAAATAATACACCGTATAAGCTATATCCCCGAGAAATCCCTCCCATCTATCAACATTATTCTAAACCAATAATAAAAAGTCTCCGTTCGAAGTATGAACAATTGGATGTACTTAGCATAGAATAACAATTTAACAAGTATTACTGGACCAGCACATAAATGGCTACTTGAAGGACACCCCCGCAGACATACCCGTCCCAGAGCCCCCCCCCCACTCTTTAGCTTGCTTGCTGTGGAAAATCTGTGCTGCAGCAGCCCCATTCGAGGCTTTTGTGCAGGTGACGAAATGCGACTTCAAACTACGTGATCTGCCTGCCAAAAGCCGCCCGAAAATGAGGGCGAAAACTTTTGAGAGACGATAAAGTATAAAAAAAAGGAAAGAAAGGAAGAAGCGATGGCTCCACAAATCCCCAAAAAAAGGCACAGAAGGGCTGCAGGGGTGGCGCACATTAAGGGGAAAGTACCGCCGCCATGGGCGGGCAATCCCCATGTGGATGTGGAGCGGCTGTCATTTGGGGCGAAAACCATGCCCTGCCAGACAACACAATGCCCAGGCAGAAGGTAGTAAATGCAATCAATACGCGCAGACGGCACATAACAGGTATTATGTATTATGTATAATGCATGATGTGTCCCCCCCACTCACACTCACACGCCCGGGTCCAGGGTCCTAGCGAGAGTGCCGTGAAAAATCAACGTCGAGCGTAATCTATTAAATTATCCTAATTTCATCACGCACCAAATCCCTTTAGCCATGAGCCTTCGTCCTTTGCGCCTTTGCGCTCTTTCGCGTCAGGCTTTCCGTCTGGAAAACAATAAAAATTTGCATAATATCGGTATAATATTTTAGCATTATATGTGCACCCACACACACACACACACACACACACACACCCCCCCTCCCCAAAGGTGCAGAAGTGTCGAGTATTATGGACATAAAAGATTTTTCTTTCATACATTTTTTGTGGTTGCTGTCCCCAGCTTTCTTTTTTGGGTGTAAATTCTGGTTAAGCTGGTGCACTAAGAAAATGTAGCTTTCTGTTACTTTGCCTCGGTATTCGTTTGAAAAATCCCCACTAATTACTTGTCTAATTACTGGGATTTTTCGCCCGACTGGCAAAGTAGCTGCAATTTGTTTCGCCAAAATCTCATTTTAAAAATAGCCAAAGCCAAAAAAAGAGACGACTAGAAAAATAGCGAAATGCTAAAATGCCAAGCTGAAATGTTAATGTAGATAAATACATTCTGGCAAAAAAAGAAACTGTGCAAAAAGTTGAAATAGATTAATGGCAAAAGAATGAAGTGGCAAGAATTGGTTTTTTTTTTGGGATTGTTCTTTGGGATATATGTATGAACATTTTTGTTGGTTAACGTTAATCATTTCCCACCGGAAAGTTTAGACTTTGAGATTTGTTAGCAGTGAATACTCATTGTCAAAATTTACACATAGGCCACGAACTGATGAGTAATTCTCAGATATATTCTAAGGAACAGCTCACAAGAGACCATATCTCGCCAATAACTGGCCACACTTTTTTCCATTGCGGTCTGGTCTCTGAACACGGTCACTCGCTCCCGCTCTGAGCAAAACACTTTTAGTCTCTTCGCTTATCTGTTATCTGTTTCGTGTCTTCGGGTTGAGCCGAGACACGCTCGTGTCTCACAATAACAACTTAACGAGGCACATTTGATCAAGTGCTCGCAGAAAAAGTGTCTGTAGATGTCTGCGAAAAGTGTTTTTAGTTTTGTTCGTGTTTATGCCCCAAGTTCAAAAATTAAGAAGTTATTTAAAAAATCAAAATGTTACTATTTGAACTTCAATAGGCATACATATATTACCAAAATTTTTAATTTATTTATAATAATAATGTTTAAATGTTTTAAATTATTTTATTTTAATTTTTAATTTTATTGTTTCTTAAAGCTAAGTTTAACTGTTTATCATGTAAAACCCGATTGTGACTAGTGAATTAATTTAAAAGTGTATAA